TAACGACCAAAAACAAATCCATCCAATAATTTATATTATCAATATTATAACAATTTCTTTAAATTAGTTACCCAAAAAAAGGTCCCAATTTTAATTAACCTAATTGTCTATTAATTTCTGAACCTTTATAATCGCAGACGCAAGCTTTTTTACAAATTATTTTTAAGTTAAATTTCAATTAATTTTTTTGACATTGGACGTAATAATATGGTAATAATTTTTTTTGGGATTTTTTTAAACGAACTTTACTAACTGAATATTTTTTAGACATCATATTCTTAGCAATGAAACACCTTCATTTCCCAATGACTTCTTCCTATAAATGACCGCCGTTCATCGTTTTAAGTTACAGCGTTTTTTTACCAATTTACTTGTACCACTATTCTTGACGCTCGTCAACCTTAACACTGACAGTTTGAATATTTATGTTTCATACCGTTAATATATTCAACGATTTATATCTGATATGCTTTTAAACATTCTTGAAAAATAGGCTCATTATGTGATAAGGATACAAATTAAGAACGCGAGACAACTACATAGCTTGAATGCTATTCTTTAAAGAAACACATTTATGCCTTTTTCATCCCTTTTTGGAACTAAATGAGATAATTCTGCTTATAATTAAAGCTATATTTGTTATATGTGATGATGGCTAGGCTAGTATGTTAAATTTATTTGTTGTATTTATAACAAACCATTTATTTAGTTTCTGGTATTGCTAAAGCGACCACAAACCGACCAAAACAAGCCAAAACAAATATTTTGTCACTTTCGGTTGCAATAAAAAGGTCACAAAATTTATATACATATCGGTAATGTTGATAGCGTTTACAACTTTCTGATGGTTTATAAAGCATAGTTTTATATAACCCTACAAGAAATTAGAATCAAACTTGTTTTATGCATATTTTGCTTGTTTAGACGAACTCGGTAAAAAAGTTATTGGTTATGGAGAATATATTTTTATTATATCTTTTTGAACAGTTTCTGTACGACGTTTCTTACTTTTTTCTCTACCTATCAGTATATACGCTCTCAATTTAAGACAAAATCAGTTTAAGAGTTCGTATTAAAAAAAACGAAATAGCGGACAGGTATCGAGAACGTTCTTAAATTAGGTATGACTTTCTATACAAAAGCTACATTTGAAAGGGATAAAGGAGACGACGGTTAACATTTGAGAGTATTCTTTGTACTGCTGGGGACCGGGTCGGGACCCTTCTTATCATCAAACCTAACGTCAAGACATTAATCGGTTCGATGAACTCCATATAATCAAGATAGACGGAGCCAGTGTTCATTCGAAACGGAAAAGCGTTGTTAGAATTATGACTTAACATTTTGTATGATATGGCTTGAGTATTATAATTATTAAAGTGATTTTCTTAATATTAGATATTGTACTACAGAACTTCACTTCAAATAGAAGATATTTTATATACAAACTTTATAAGCAGATCTATAATCAGAAGTAAATGTAAAAAAAATATGTTATCAAATTTGATGCAACGAATGTGTTATGAGAGTAAAAAAATATATTTATCATACACGATACGGTAAAAACATCCAGGTATACTTTACAAGCCCGTACTTTCATTTCTGTATAGAAATAAAAATCGCAACGAGCTAAATTGTAAGCGGAAGGGTAAATATTGCAATTTTCGTACTACTTCCATTTCGACCTAGATATTATTCACACAATGTACTACATGAAATATACTTTAATATATTTTTGTGGTATGGTATTTTTTTCATGTTTTTACTTGAGCTTGTTAAAACTAAATATATGAAAACAATATTAAGGAGGACATTCACACATTACAGTAATCCTTATGGGTGTTGAATTTACATTTGGAATTTGAAACGAGGGGCACAATTACCTTAGAGAACCTATTAATGTAACGTTTATGTGTCCTTCTCCTGTAAATAAGAGTATCAAAACACGTAGCTAGCTTAAATATAAACTACTGTTACTGTTATCCGTATGAACAGCTTTTACAATAATCTCTTTTTATTTGTACTTCCTATAGGAAACACTGAAAATATTACAAAGAACGAATGGTTTTATATAATTATATGTGTGTTTAAGATATTGAAATAACACACCATAATATACAAGATATTATATTGACATAGATTTTTTTTGGCAGATTTTAGCACCTGGACGTATTTTTATAGGCATTGAATAAGTATATAGTGCTGATGAGTGACAATTTATAATATACAAAAAACCACTATGTTTCGTCCACTATATGCACTAAAAGTTGTTTAGCGTAAGTAAACTCCAAGGCTATTATTTTTATTTATTTAAATCTTCATATAATTACATCAGTAGTGTACAGACGCAATCATAATACGTACATATCTCCTACCTAGTATGAATATTGAAAACTGGCGACGCATGCGCAATATGATGAGCACGGCGCCACCGAGTCGGAGCCAGTCATCTCCCATCAATAAAGGAAGCCAAACAATAATAGGTAATCAAATCTACTTTGTTTACACTGTAATTAATATCAAAGAAACGTAGTTGTCTTAGTTTTTATTCATACTCCTTGGATATCTAATACTACACATACACATATTAAAAATATTGTAATGTATTTTTCACAAATCTTTTGAACAACGGTATATAATTTTGAAACGTTTTTTTTTTTTCACCAATTATTTATTTAACTCTCACAAACGTTAATGATATGCAAATATAATCGCTTAATCATATATTAATTGAAACAAAAAATACCTTTATAGGTATAAAAAACCTTGACAATGAATATTACATAGTAATTTAACTGGTCTCTGATAAATAAATAATCTTTCTTATATAAAAAAAATTAAACAAATAAACACAGAATAAAATGATAATCAATCACGATTATTTCCTACTAATTGCTGGATAATAAAATTAAATATGTATGTGATATTATATTAGCACATTCTAGCAATTCGTCAGGATGATTATCGCTAGATTCAAGGTTTGCTTTTTTTACTGTATTTAGTTTTTAAAGGATTTTATATTCTTTACTAGGTTCTCACTATTTTTTGTCAACTTCTTATTGATTTTTTTAATTATGAAACAGTAAAAAAAAAACAAAACAGTTTCATAAAAAACAGGACCAAATGAGGTGTTAGAGTTGTATAAACACGATTTTATGATAATTAATTTACAGATTAGACTGATTCCGCATTGTAAAAGGTCTAATTTACTTTGTTTTTGTTCGGTATTTCCTATATATTAACATTCGTGGATCTAAAGCGCCCTTCATTTAGAGGTCGGTAAGAGGTTAAAGTTGAAAACAAGTTTTAATTGAATAAACATTGTTAATTAACAGCTATCAATAATGTCTTTAGATAATGATAACCAACAGGTGTTGACACAAACTTTAATTTTGTATAGATTACGTGCTAATATTAAGAAAAATGATTTTTTATTTTGTGAAATATTATTGAAAATTAGAAGATACTTGAAATCATAGGTTTTCATAAATATGGACGTATTACTTTGAAGTTTTACAGGAAAACTACCTTTAGTACTACTTGAATAGACAAGTTCTAAAGTAACATTTTGAAACAAGATGTACTGAATAAGATTTAGACTTGTAGATTAAATGTAATTTATATTAGAATACTACAAGATTTGGCATGACAATAAGAGCCAAACTCTTCTTCAATGAAGGAAAACAAAGTAATAACGTAATTCTGTTAAGTGTTCAGGTAATATTTTTCCTTTCACTTCTTAATAATATCGACCTAATAGTTTAACGACGCAAAGATTTCAAGGAACTCATATTATTTTTACTTCGTCATAAATCCAATTCGTTTTTCAATGAAAAAAATTATTAAAATATCCAGCGAAGAATAAAATCGCTGATTTGATATAAAGGAGAAAATCAAAAAGCCTTGATAAGTAAAAACATTTTTGTGATTTAAAATAAAACGGAGGTCCGTCACGAAGTGGTTGGATTCGCATTAGATTCAAACCGAACCATCAAAATAAGCCTCGTTTAAAGTTCCAGAGCTTTCAACGAGCCGGGAACGAAACCCACGATTTATAGAATGTGAAGGGGCCATATTTTTTTTCGAGTGCCTTTAGATAATTAGCCAAGCGGAGTTAGCAAAAAAAATTTGCTTGACAAAGGTCTTTCATATATTTTTAATATATCTGCTCATCAGTTATCGAAGTTCAGTAACATATTATAAAATTGATCTCGTTTGCCGTGAGAGGTATTGATTATACCATTAAGTACTACACAGAAAAATAATATAATATTTTAGGTATATAAAATGTTGTTTAACGTGAGTAACATTTCATTTAGTACCCCGCTTAAGAAAATGTTAAGTGTTTTCGACTTGAATACTTTTAATATTAAAAAAGTAATAAGAATTTCTTAAACTTTAACTTTAGCCCAAAAAAATTGCTTACAACTCTTTTTTTAATAATATAATCTGCAGCAGAGGTTTTATCCCAACCTAAATATACACATAAGTACAAATAAACTCATTATTCATATATTCCAACAGTACATTTGTTTTTATTCCAAAACCAGTAGCCGTTTCAACAATATATTCAAAGATTATTATCTAATATAAATTTGAATAATGTAATGGTCACCATCCAATATATTTATTGAAATTCAAGGTGAAATGCATTTTTTCCGTTATATTTTAATAGCATTTATGTAACTATAAAATCGAAATTATACAGTGTTTGTTTATTTTTAAACATACTGATTTGGCCTTCTCGAAACAATAAAACTATTTGTCAATAAAAAATACATATGTCGCCTTGAGGGCCCGTTTTGATAGATACGGTTAAAACTTTTACGATTTCTATCGTTCTTGACAGCAAATACTACATTTTACCTAACTCCTTTTTAGTGTCGTCATAAAAATAGCAACTCCAGCATAATTCAAGCTAGGATGTCACAAATAGATTAGTTTGTAAAATTTGCATGTGCTATAAAGACCTTCATATTTTTACCAACTTTTAATATAAATTATTCTACCTTACCTTTCTTACATTCTTCTATATTTTCATCTGATTTGTCGCCGCAGTCGTCGTCTCCCTCGCACACCCAGGCTATTGGTATACACTTCCCGTTCGCACACTGGAACTGCTTTTGGGAACATACATCTGAAAGGTAAAGATAAAATATACATAAAATATTGTAAACTATAAGGAATCAATCATGTTTGTGATTTAACTATGCTTTGTTACATTACAGCTACCCATAATATGTATAATTCAAAAATCATTAACAGTAAAAATTTTATATATATGTACTTTGTTTTAATACATTCCTAATGGCTTTATCATTAGTACTACGAACAAAAATCCTTAACAAGTTTGAAACTCCGTGCAGAAATAAAAAAAAAGAGAAAAAAATTAAATGTAGACTGCAAGTTGAAATCTGATTATAATAGCTTTCTATATAATTGTTGCTCACATTTAGTGAGCTTGAGATAAAAGCATTTTCGAACAGAAATGGATCTGTGCGGAGCTGCAAGTAAGGCCCGCCTTGGAGAACAATTCAATTTCGTACAGCGCACCCCGCAAGTATACAAGCATCATGATGACGTACAATATTTACAATGAGTCACGCGTTGTGAGCTGTACAAACTACAGAGTCTCCTTAGATCGTGAATGACTCGTATACGGTATAAGTAACTAGTTATTGGTTCACTTAAGATAAGTTAATGAACTATAAATTGTTGTATAATTGTTTCTGAATGATCTGCTTGTGGTAAATTCTAGCATCACATGCGTTGATATTAAAGATTTAAAAAAAATTGTAATTGAATTTAACTTCAATATTTTCAATTTTTTTTATTGAAAAAAGCATTATGTTCTTATGTTCTTTTAAATAAAATACGTACTAGCTTCACTCGCTTTGAATAATCTCACTAAGTTACAGAAGCTCATTTTAAGAATGGAGAATACAAACTTATATTGTTTCACCGATATTTAAGGAAGTGATAGTATCAACGGTGTTTTAATATATTTAAAAATATTAGGCCTCCCACGAAATAAAAATTTCATGTTAATATTTGTGACTATTTTACCATAAGTGTTCATGTTACGGAAATAAATATCTTATGTGAGCTTTTTTAATTATAGAATCAAATGTTACATTTTTAAAATATTTTTTTGACATAATATATTCGCCCGATATTTTGGGTTGAGAAAAACTTCCTAAAATATAAGATTCCAGTTAGAACTGATGAATCAGTAATAAGAAATTCACTTTTTATGAAACCCTTGATTTAAATAGGATCGTTTAAAAATAAAGCTGAGTAGGAAACTTTTAATTAAATCTAAAGTCTACAAAATTTTGACTGAAATCTGTTTGTGAATTTTCTCTCTAAATTACTTCGTCAAGTAAAATAAGTATTACGTGGCACGTGAATTATTCTATTCATTTTCAAACATACAGAAGTTTAGAATGCATAGACCATAATAATTGAATATTACCCATTCGTATGAAAACAATAATGGCTACAAGCACAAATACCTCAACATTCATACAAAGATATTATTTAATGAATTTATGCTTTATTGGATAGTGATCATAAAAACATTAAATATATTTATATCCCTACTTTGAATTCTGTATATTATTGCAACGTTTACATTGCCCATAACATTTTATCGTTTACATAAAGTTAAGAATAACTTTTCATCGTATCATAAAGGACAAAAGGGAATAAGGAAATCGGCCATCGAAGGAAACATAAATCTAATATATAACTTTAAGGAAGAAAAATGTGATCGAATGTATATGATCCTGAGCAGCCCTTTGTAAGCCCGTAATGGGACAAGAAGCCAGCGCCCAATATGAAGGAATCTTCTAAATTCGTTGATTTATGAAGTACATTTTGTGTGCGACCAATTTTCTGGAATACTCGATAACTTTATGAATATATTCATTGTATATATTAAAATGTCAAAACAGGTTAAGAGAAATTTTGTTTATATGTAGTATGAGTTTACTTTGTTAAACTAAAATATAAAGGGGCTTTCACTAAATTATTATTAGATGGATCAGAGTTTATCATATAGTACAAAAAAAATCTAAATTATGATGACGTCACAGAAAATTTCAAAGTCATAAAATTAAAATGTGTATTAACTTGTTCGAGAACAACACACCGAACTAATTTGTATAAAACTATGCAGGATTGTAAAATAATTTATACAAGTCGAAAACTAAATAGGTAGTCATAGCGAATACAGTATTATAAAGTCATAAATTAAATAAACCACACATTCTACATAGCAGATTGAACATACGACGAACTAATTTAATTTCATTAAATTTCGAGGGTGCTTCTATGCCGGTGACGATCTCACCGCATTGACGGCCAATCTATATGGAGTACCCTCGTCTAGGCAAATCGATTGCAACGGGAACAAAACGTGAATGACCAATATATGGTCCCTCTATAGTTTATTCGGATGACGTAAATCATTGAATTCAATAAAGTAGGTCGATTGCGTATCATTCAATGTTTGTGACGTTGATGCATTGTCTTCGACCCTTGTGTCACTATTATTTCATGAAATTAAACGTGTCTATTTTTTCTCTATTGTTTTGGATTCACATTTTATCACTGATAATTTTGTTTAAAACTTGACATAATATCCGAAAATCACAAATATTCTTTATTAATTCCATCATAATACACCATTCAATGGTATAAACAGATAGTATTACTTTGAAAGGACCTTTGAAATTATCCCACGCAAAAATTTTCAACAATTTCATACTAAAGATTTATTGCTGTAAAGCCTATGTCAAAATGACTACCAAAAACATTTTGATATTATACTTTTATAAACATGTCTTTGCCTCTGTAATAATAAATTAAATTACGCGTATTATAAAATAAATATAAATGTATTAGTATTTCTTCTTTAATGTTATTGTAACGATGTAGCCTGGTATATTTTTACGAATTAAAGCCCATTGACTCTTCGTCGAGATCCAAGGGTGAAGTACTAGGTGTATTAGCTCATCACCTAAATAAATATTTCGGAGGTACTATTTAGGAGCTCGTGTTAAGAGTTAAGGCGTAATAAAGAGGGCTATTCATCTTTAACCCTTTTGCAGCTGACGTATGTAAACATCGCCTGTCTCTACATCCCTTTTTAATCTTCTCGTGTAGACATAATTAACTAGTTTATTTTATATTTTAAACGTGATGAAAAATATATTTAATAATCTTAATATAAACGTCAAAGATGTCTCTCCTTCATACCAACAAACGTAGTTCTATGTGAGCATATTATAAATCCTCTTAATTTTTGCATGACTGACAGACAAAATTTAAGTACTGTGGTCTGTATACTATTCTTTAAGTATAATAGTTAAACTTCTAAAATTAAGAGACTGAAATATGAAATAATTTAATATTAAATGAGCTTTATTTCTCATTCTAAACTTCTTTATTTTATGAAGAGTGTCTAATTAAAGGCTGAAACTTGGAAACGTCTGTTCTTAAATTACAACATTGGGTTTAATCAAATTATGCTTGAGTGTACCTCAAAAATGAAATTGCCCTTAAAAATTAATTGCCCGCCACTGAGGTACTTATCTATAGTCTGTATAATTACATTCCGTTGCATTTTAATAAGTAAATAATTAGATAATTGTATTACACTTCAAATAATTTAACTTTGGAAGTAAAGAAAGGCTACTTTAACTATACTTACGTAAATATAATACTAATAGTATTTGCTTGCTTGCTCCGAATATGTTATAATAACAAGTTGAAATATAATAATAATCTACTTACTTAAGTACATAAGCCGTTATCATATTTAAAACTTAGTGTTGGTTTAAACTATTGGATCGGAAGAATTACGTATCTACTGTAAATATCAAGTATTTTTTGTTGTTGTTAAATAAAAAAACACATTTCTTTAGATATTTTTGTGTTATTTCAATCTACAATTTGATATAAAGTTGTCACACATCTTAAAAATTCAATTAAATGAGTCCATTCTCAGTTCTTACTCAGCTAAAAGTTTCCTGAACAAATAAGCAAACAAGCTAACGTAAGTTTATCTACGTAAAATCTTGGTTAAATGAATTGGCAACTTATACTTAATTGATAAAGAAACTAGAACGCGATATTCCAGAGGTTGCAGGTTAGAATCCAGTACGTTAGATGAATTTTCTTAATTCATTTGTTTTTCAATTAAGTAAATAAATGATAACAAAATTAAGTACATGATTAATCTGTAAAATATTCAGAAATTAAGTATAATTAGAGGCATAAATGATAATCGTAATAATCACATGTGTAAATAAAAATATAAATTAGTAACACACAAAAAAAATAATATCACTATTTTGCATTACACTCTAGAGGTGATTTGAATACAATTGAGACGTTAAACAACGCCCTAATGACTATTGCTTCCATTACAGAAATATCCATTCGCATTATACGGAAATTCCTGATAGTCTAAACGTTAGGATATCTGACTCATTGAATTTGCAAAATCGTCTTGATGGAGGCTGATGACTTAAGACGAAACGTGGATAAGCAGATACTGCGCCGATTCAAATCGGAAACTAGATAAATGCTCAGCTTGCCTCTGCCACCGAACTGGGGTCCTGTGGTTGAATACAAATGGAGCGTTTATCCCCAAAAGCCAATTTGTATGTAAATTACAGGTCCGTTTAACTATTCTCGTTAGTTGCTCATTTTAGGTACCGCTGCATTTTTAGATGTCTCTAATTATTTATCGTTTCCGTCAGGTTTTAGGGAATGGACTTTTGAAACAGGAATTTCGAGTAACTTAGTAGTTTGAAATTTATTTTTAAATTATATGAATGATTGAAAAACTATTATTCTTGATTCGTACAGAAAATGTAATTTTATAAGAATTTCTTTCGATAGTTAAGTCTTGCTTCACGTATTAATAAATAATAATATAACCTGTATTAACAGATTACTTTATTATAAAAATTGTACAAAAAAGACCTAAAACCAAAGATTATGTACAAAAGTTACTCATCCCGCTTTGAATAAATAATAGACTTTCATTATATATTCCAAGGAACGGTTATAATATGTACTTGTATATATTAATACAGAATTAGAGCAAACTTTTCTAATATCTAA